TCGAGCCGAGACCACCTCGTTCAGGCGATCTCGGACCGATTGTTTTGGCGCGGATCCGAGCGTGATTGCCGTGTTCACATATGCCCAAACGAACCGAGCTAAGGGGGGAAATGTGCCAGGTTCTGAAACAACGGGCCAGCTGTGAAAGCACCCTTAGATTCAGACTATGTTTCCATCCAGTCAGAAGATATCAAACACGTTTGATATTTTGAGCTGATTTTAGAATGCATTTTTTCATGCATCTCCTAGCAATGTGGTGTAAGTTTCTATGGCTGTGTTTGCACTGGCACAAAAAATCTGATTTTTTGCTCACATCTGACACAGATCAGAATTCGTCGCACACGTATAAAGACACAAATCCGCACGATATCTGATTTTTTCACATTAGATCTGAGCCAATTCCAAATGTGGTTTTAAATCAGATACATATCTATATCTGGACATCCAACCTACGTCTAAATACACATATCCGATTCCTTCAACTCCAACCACCACAATGCGAGGGCGACACGTTTGCCCACAAAGATAGCATTTTAATGCTGGCATGCTGTATGCGCTCGCATTTTATATAGGTGGGAACTTTATATATAATTAAGAAATTGTGCAATATTCAGGAGCTGGTTTTCAACCCCTGCCCTGTGAATTTTATAAATACAACAGCTTCGCTACTAAAAGCTGCATTATATTTCTCAGCAATGAGGTGATAGCTGTTTTTGTAATTAAACCAACAAGCTTCACTATTAGGCTACTCAATCGTGCATTCGCTCTCTCTCGTTAATTCATTTGAATTCATTAAAATAAATATAATCTTACAGCGCTACTTTATTTCACTTCAGAATCCCTTATCTAAGGAGCTGTAGATAAAATAACAAATGAAAATGATCATTATTTTCCAGTGTTTATCCATTCAGTCAGATTTTGTGCTGCAAAACATCCATGACAGCTGTTGTCCATGCGGGCAAATAATAATGGCCTCTCGAAGTGAATTATTTTAATGTGCATAGTAAAGCGGTCACTGACAATCATTTTGGGCGGGAATTAATGTAAACACAGATATCGGATAACAGTCGTGTCTAAAGTGAATGTAAAAAGACGGGCCAAAAAATCGGATATGGTCAAAAGATCGGATCTGTGCACGAAGACCTGCAGTGTATGCAGCCTGTGCGACTTTGTGTCAGAACAACATGAAAGAGTGGTAGTGTGTGTATATGTATATGTATTTATGTGTGTATGTGTATGTATGTATGTATGTATGTATGTATATATGTATATATATACACACATACATGTATGTATAAAGTTTGATTTCTCAAACTGAGTTGTTTTCACATGCACTGAGACAGAAATCTCCACTTCAGTAGCATTTGCATATACCAAACTTCACAGTTTAACCCTCATGTGGTGTTCAGGTCCTTTTTGCTCTGAAAATTTTTTTTTTTTCCCGAAAATACTAGTTAATGTTAATCGCATTGGACTGAAATTTTGTGACTTTGTTCACAAAGGGTATGAAAGAAAAGAAGTTGACAAAAAGATTGAATCCAATATTTGGTGATAATATAGCATAATGAGTGATTTATAAGCAATTTTTTGAGGCCGGGTCATTTTTGCCCTGGAACACCACAAGTGTGACTTTGTGCTATTTTGTACAAAATAAAAGCATTTAAAAGCAAACTCCCTGATTAAAAATTAAGGCACACTATTGTGATAAACAGTGCAAATTTTCTCCAGTTTTTATTTAATATTGTGAAAATTATTCATAAATAATGCTTTTTTCACTCAAAAAATTAGGTGCCTACTTTCAGATAAATGAGGCCTACGATTAATTAGAAGCAAATATAAATACAAAACCAGTCCTAAATGAAAGAAAAGAAGTTGACAAAAAGATTGAATCCAATCTTTGGTGATAATATAGCATAATGAGTGATTTATAAGCAATTTTTGAGGCCGGGTCCTTTTTGCTCTGTAACCTCGTTAGTGTGAAAGGGTTCTGAACACAACACAAGGGTTAATTCCTATCTGTATTGAAGGTTTTTACAGAGGGGTTTGCTTTTAAATAATTCGCCTGATTTATATTACATTTTTTTTCCTAAAACATGTTGAACTTTTTTTTTTTTCTGACAGTATTTTCTAATTTAAAAAAAAATTGATTTGTATGCAAACTAGCACATATTTAATTGAATAATGCTCCATTTGCACATTTAAACAACATTTCAGAAAACATTTAATACAAATAAGTCTTAATGTCCCGTGATGGATCAGCTGGGGAAGTATGGTGATACTGTATACATTAGTTATTATTATTATTTTTTCAACCTTATTCATCTGTGGTGTCTTGCCTTAAAAGTCATGTAGTGTATTCCAACCTTTAAGGACCCAAATAAAACTTTCTGCTGCTTTATATGGGCGTATAGTATGGAAAATGACATTGACATTAATAATATTGATTTTTGTGGTCTTTGTTTCATATTTAATCTTTTCCTCATTACAGCCAGTGGTGAAACTGCAGAATAACAGAGGGAACAATAAATACTCCTATACCAGGTACATTCAGCCTTGCTTCTTCAGCTTTTTATAAAAAGATTAAATGACTGAGTTTACCACCTTCTCATTTCAGAAAGCACATGAATCATAATATGACTTATTCAAATACTACTCTGAATCTAAATTAATAATTGTAGTCATACACACACCTCACTTTTTGGCAAAAGCTACATAACTCAGTGACACCTTGTTGACACCTAGGAAGCAGTAAGAAAATGAGTTTGAAATGTGTGCTAAATTTGTGTGGGAGGTGCCGTTTTTCAATAAAATGTACCTTTTGTTTCCTCAGCAACTCTGATGATAACCTTCTGAAGAACATCGAGCTGTTCGATAAGCTGGGGCTGCGCTTTAATGGCAGAGTGCTGTTCATTAAAGATGTGTTGGGAGATGAGATATGCTGCTGGTCTTTCTATGGCGAGGGACGCAAGATTGCCGAAGTCTGCTGCACCTCTATTGTTTATGCCACTGAGAAGAAACAGACCAAAGTGAGCAAAAAGGACTTGAACTCTAGTCTCTGTGATATGTTTGTTTTCTTACATTATTTTTAATCCGTTCACATAGGTTGAGTTCCCAGAAGCTCGTATCTTCGAGGAGACACTCAACATTTTGATCTATGAAAATGGACGAGGCTCGGGTTTGGGAGGCATGGCCCTGCTGGAGTCAGGGGGCGTCTCGTCGCCAGGTGTGGACCAGTCGGAGGAGGACGGGGCAGGTGTGGGAGGCGGGGATAGGCGGGTGAGGCGTATCCATGTGCGGAGGCATATTATGCATGATGAGAGGGGTCACGGACAGCAGACTGTCTACAAAGACTGAATCAGAACGGTACAAAGACACTGTACTACCAATATGCATGTGAACAATGGAAAGATTGGTTGAGGAAAGAAAGACAACTTTGGTATGTTTAATGCTGCACTGAAATGGGAGGGGTGGGGGTAATTATGGGCTAGTTTATAAACAATACTGAAGTTGCCACAGTGTGGTACAGTTTTAATTTTTCTGTTTTGTCTGTTTTGTTCAATTTAATTTATTATTGAGTTAAATTAATGTCCTGAATTTTCACTTTTTCAAGATTCAATGTGAAATAAGTTGTATTTTTTTGTTTTGTTTGATTTGTTTGTATGGGCTGTGTGAAAGTTTATCTTTCGGTGTTTCGTGGTAAACTGTGATGTATGCTGACTTGAGAGGTACATGGTGGAGGTGTCATGTTGTCTAGGACTGTCAGATCTTCTGAGCAACTGACCAAATGTGCAAAGCTTGTTGTTATAGCCATAGATAGTGGGGGTCCAGTTTTAAACATCCTTTTTGTAACACAAAAAGAAAACTTAACAAGTAAATCATTTTACACAACTGTGCCTCACGATTAGTGTTTAAAATTTTGATGAATGTGTTAATATTTCTAAAACTAATATTGTTTTAGTTTAAAAAGAAAAAAGATAACAATAGTTTCTAACTAACATGATGCAACAATACATTCTAAAACAAAAATGTTGACTTGTTAGACTTGGGTTAGACTTCTTGCCACATCTTCGGTTTAAAAAAAAAACGTTTTATTTCAGGATAATTTCTAGACAAAGATGTCTCCTTTGAATCACATTACTACTAGGGTTTAAACCCCTTCACAAAATGATGTTTTGTTCACCATTGTAAGCCATAAATGTATGCACTCACTGTCCTAGACCAAAAAACACCCCCTTAATTCTGCCAATTAAACTAGTATATGTGTAATGCCGTCCAGATATTGTCTTGGAATTTTAATCAACTGGAATTAATATTCCATTAACATTTTCAATAAAAATGCTTTTTGGTAAAGTCTTTGTCAAGTTATTTTATTTTGTTTTCAAAAATAGCAAAGGAAACCTATTCCAAAACAAGGGAATTAATCATAAAAATACAGTAGGTCATAACAGAGTGTCAAAATGACAAATTCATACCAGATGAAGGATGAAAACGGTAAATATGAGAAGAGTAAATAACTTTTGGAAAAAATAGAGCATATAAAGTAGCTGTATAAGACTTGTCCAAATCCAAGCATCCAATGAGCATATTTACAAGTGAATTCATGAAAGAAAACGCTAACGTTAGAGCGTTTTTAATAATCGGACATAAGCAGCGTTCTGACCAACTTTATTACGTGAACACGTCTATCGGAAATTGTGCGCGATGACGTAAAGTAACGTAGCCGTGCACAGCAAAGCGCGCCAAGGTAGGGTGGCGCGCTTAGTACGCACACACAGCACGCAGTTTTGTAAAAAGTGGCGCAAATGTGTTAAAAAAAAAAAGCCATGGCCAAAGAAGAAGACGCAATCCGAAAGTTCGTTGTGAGAGAACTGCACAAGTGTTCGGACCTCAGGTAAACTATAGGAAACGGCAGTGTCGAAAGTGCTGTCAAAATGGATGTTAGCATCGTTACATATCAAAGATGAACGCTGTTAGTAAGTCCGGGCTGAATCATAAACTCCAAAAAATTTGATACGTATGTCAGGTCTCACATCGGCTCCTAAATAGCTAGTGAGTGACATGAAGGAAAAAGAAACATATAAAGATGTGTAAGATTGTTGCATGAAGACGGTCAGATCGCATAAGATGCGCTTTTTAATTTGCAGGTAACGTTAGCCTATTGTAAATAAACGTGGTCGAGAGACACTACAATGATGTGTGACGCAGCTTACCTAAAAGAGCTGGAAGGAAATACTGTAGTTCAATAGTATGCTGCAGGGGTTTGAAAGATAGACGGCACAAAAATGTGTCTGTGCCATCACATCACTCGTGTCCATGCACTAGCCTCTACAAAGTGAAAGTATGCTTGTGTTTTGTAACGGTTTGCTTTGTACAAAATATGCGTAGTGTTAAGTGATGTGACATTTTTCATTGATTTATATCGGTCAATCAGAATGAGATTGCAATTGTGCCGTTATTTGCATGTTTAATTTACCGTTACCCTGCCACCTTTCAGTACACTGACTTTAGGCATTCTGCGGAGGAGATACCTGGAGAAGGCGGGGAGAGAGTCGCTCAGCATCAAGGACAGACAGTTGATGAAGAAAATTGTAGAGGAGGAACTTTTGAAGATGCAGGTGAAGAAGAGACCTTAAATTAATGTGATCTTAAAGGGGCAGTTCACCCAAAAATGAAAATGTTGACATTAATTACTCACCCTCATGTTGTTCCAAACCTGTAAGACCTCGTTTATCTTCGGAACACAAATTAATATATTTTTGATGGTTCTCTGACCCTCCAATAGACAGCGAGGGTCCTTGAAAGGTCCAGAAACGTACCAAGGACATAGGTAAAATAATCCATGTGACATCAGGGGTTCAACCGTAATTTTACAAAGCTATGAGAATACTTTTTGTACGCAAAAGAAAAAAAAAGAACGACTTTATTCAACAATTCGTCGTCTCCGTGTCACCCTAGCGCCATTTTGGAGAGTATTCACTGAACGTAAATTGCATATGCTGTTTTGTGTCAGCTGCGCCACGCGGATATGTTGTTTTCGTTATAATCAAAGCATAAACAGCGTATCCGTTGATGCTTTTATGTTTATTTGGGAATGACAATGGAAACGATTTAATTCACAGCATGCATTTCTCAAGATTTAATTGAAAATACTTTGTGTCACTATTCGAAGAGTCTCAAGTACAACGATTTAACAAATTTTAGTTTAAAAGGATTTCTGTTTGAAATGTTACAAACATGCACAAAAGAATGGAGTGAAAGCTTGTCTGATAATATGGTGGAGAGTAATGTGATTTGTTAGTAACATTTTTAAGTCAAGGCTTAGCAAAGTGTCAAAACCTCTTTCAATTTCCAGGGCAGCAGTGATGACGAGCCTCTTATTAAGAGTGTGAATCCATCGAAGAGCCAGAGCAAAAGGAAAAGGGTGGATGATGATGGGGATGAAGAGAATAAAATGGTGGAAAAGGCAAAAAGATCACGGCTGGAGGCGTCTTCTCCAGGTAACTGAAGTATTTACAGAGTTTGTCCTTGTTTTATTTTGTCATTGGGTGTTACATGAGTAATTTTATAATCTCTCTTGTCCAGATTCCCCCGACTCTGGAATAGAGAAGGCCATGAATGAGAGAGAACAAAAAGAGGAAGAAGCTAAAAGTGATAAAGACACGGGTGAAGACAGTGAAGAGGAGCAAGAGAAAAAGATCATTAAGAGAAAACCACAGAATAAGAGACGGGACGAGGACAGTGAGAAGAAAAAGAATCTGAAGAAGAAAGGGAAGATGACAGACAGTGATGAAGATGAGGATTCTGATGAGGAGGAGGCAAGGCAAAAACAACCATTGAAAGAAAAGAAAAAGGATTCAGACAGTGAGGAGGAAATCAGTGATAAACTGGCTGCGAGTGATTCTGAGGATGAAAAAGTGAAGAGCAAAGTGAAGACGCAGGGCAAAAGAAAAGATGTCATTAAAAAGAAGCAAGTAGAGAGGGATGTTGTGAAAGAAGTGGAGAGAGAAGTGTTTGGGAGCAGCTCTGAGAGTGAAGAGGAGAATGACGAGAGCACTAAAGCAAAAAACAGCAGCAACTCTGAGAATGACAGCAGTGGAGACAGTGAAGAGGAAAATGATCAAAAAGAGGATGCTGCTAAATTATCCTCCAAAGAGATGGAGAAAAATGGTAAGAATCCCTCAGAGGTCAAAGCGGGTGCACACTTAAACCTTTCTCCTTATATTGTTCATCTGGCTTTTTCCTGACAGACGAGAACATACAGGACAATCAGAAGGAGGCAGCAGAGGACTCCGACTCCTCGTCTCTTCCCTCACTGGAGGACGAGGAGGAACGAGAGAAGGACAAGAAGGAGGGAAAGAAAAGCGTGACAAAGAAAAAGCGCAGTGAGGAGAGGGAGAATACAAGCAGAGGAAAGGCAAGATGAATTTGAGAACAGCTCCTATCACAAAAATGAACCCACAAACAACTTTTTTTTTCATGACTGTGTGTTATATTCAAGTAATGTCAAACAAGCAAGAGTGCTGTTATTCTAAATATCAGCATGGCTGTGATTCAACCATACGTTCATTACTGTTCAAAAGTTTGGGGGTCAGTTTTTTTTTTTTTACTTAAGTATTAAAGTATTTTATTAATTATTTTATTCAGCAAGGACACATTAAATTGATCAAAAGTGACAGTAAAGACATTTAAGTCATGTTACAAAAGGTTTCGATTTCAAATAAATGCTGTTTTATTGAACTTTGTATTTACCGAATGCAGAAACAAATCACGATTATTGCAAAATATTAAGCAGCATTACTCTTCAACATTGATAATATAAAATGTTTCTTGAGCAACAAACTTAAAATGTTAAAAATTAGTTTAGGTTCGAGGGTAAAAATGCCAAAATATTTAAATATTTGAAATGTCACATTTGACATATTTCTCAATATTTTATTCTTGGTCTTTCTATGTTTGTTAAAGGTTTAGTGTAGGGCTGCACGATAAATCGCATGCAATATTTAATGCGCATCTTAGTAAAGCCGGTTCTGTAATCAGCAGTAAATCTCCATCACGTGCGGGCTTTCACATGGAGCAGCATTTACTACACAGAGCCGTTGTTCACTGACAAGCTGCGCTAAACCACGATCATATATGCGCATGCGATTTATCGTGCAGCCCTAGTTTAGTGCCTCTTCAGACACGGTAGTGACTTGTAGCTCTCATTTATTTGCATTCATTAAGCTACTTGTGTATGTAATGTTTATTGTAACAGCCAGAATTGCTCAGAGTGAGAATTTCAAATTGTTTCTGACATAAATGGGAGACTTGCTGTCCATGCCTTTTATAAAACCCAATTTTTGAATTTTACTTGGAGATGCATTGATTATAATAACGGATTATAATCATTTTTGACACCATAAGGATGAAGAAAACAAGGCTGTGTCCAGGCTGAAGCGCTACATCGCCCTCTGTGGTGTGAGACGGAACTACAAGAAGCTGTTAGACGGCTGCCGCTCAGTAAAGGCAAAGGTGGCTGTGCTGAAAAAAGAGCTGGAGGAGCTGGGTGTGGAAGGTTAGTGTGCCTGCTGAATCCCCTCAGTGCTGTCAA